TTATTTCTTTTGGCAAAATTTTATTTTTTGTCCTCTACCTCCATCCAGTTGTTTGCGCGGAAGAGCGCATCCTGAATTGTGTCTGGTTTATGAAGTATTAAATCTTCTTTAAACCTTGAATCATGTCGCAATCCCTTTCGTAGGGCGGATAAAGCCGATTGTTGTGAGATTCTTGGGAGTTTTGACAGCACTCCTTTGAATTTGGTGATGAAAACTCGAAGTGACTCATTTGATCCTTGTGATAGGTTCCAAAGATCGGCATCCGAAACGCTTTTATCCATAAGGATGGAATATTGCTTTAAGAACACAGCTGATAGCTCGTCAAAATTGCTGATCGAACCCGGCTCTAATTGGGTGAACCACATTAGAGCTTGGCCGCATAGATTTTCTGAAAAGAGCTTACAGTAACCTGCATCCTCGTCAGCTTCATCCAATTCGACTCTTCCAGCTGCGATCAGAAAAGCTGCGAGATAGCTCTTTGGATCCTCCAATCCGCTGTAAGGGTCCAACTTGAGCTTCCGGGAATCTTTGATTCTCAAACTCGCAATTCGCGAGATGAAAGGTGTTCGCCTAGCTTCTTCAATGACTCGATTGATGTCTAGCTCCGAACTTGTAGCTTGATGGAACTTTGACTTCATTTCTTTTAGTTCCTGGCTAACCTTCCTCATAGTCTCGAACTGGTCGAGGTTTTCCTGCTCGTATTGATCTGCAAGTTGAGCTTCATCTTCGAGTTGTGCCTCTCCATCCAATGGCTGAACTATATTATTAGTAGCTCCAGGAGTTGTTTGTCCGCTGGTTTTGTTTCGCGCAACGGAACTTGGCGAGTTGAATATCCTCCTTCGGATTCCCACAGGATTTCCTGCACTTAAAGAGCGAACACGAGTTTGTATAGTATTGACGTTTTGGCTAAGAGATACCTGGGATGTTTGCAACGTATCGACGGCCTTTTCCACATCCGAGAACTTTTGTGATATGTCCGACATGGTTTGCTGCATAGCTCTGAGGGTTTCGGCCAATGATGTCTCAACGGCGTCTCCTCCGTGCTGCTTATCTCGGAAATGTAGTAAAGAAAAAATCTGACCACTCAAGAATACTCTATCCCCACAGACGGCGCCAAAATGTGGATGTCGGATTTGCACACTCAAGTATTTTTATTAAGTAGGAAAGATTACTCTTGAGGGACAAAAATAAATATGTAAAAGGCTTATGAATTGTTACAAAAATTGCTATAGTATTTCTTGCTCGAAAGAACGATCCCCATACATGGCCATTGGCCTTCTTATTTATACATAGAAAAACGACATTTAAGTGGCTAATTAAGTATAATTATTCTCTCTTAAATGTGTCTGTTTTGATCTTTGCTTTTAATGCTTAACGTTTGAATTTGAGTTGATTCTGATCTTCATGGGCCTCGCCTTTTGGCCCAAATGTCCTTGGACTGACTTAACCATGACTTCGTCTCCGGCCTCGTGTCGAGGTGTAGTCACTTCGGATTCTCTTTACGGTGATAACCACTTCGACTGTTCTTTTGACTTGTGGGTATAATTGCTTTATCCTTTATGGGCCGTTATCCTGACTACGTGGCAATCTTTGGTTGGTCCTGGACCTCTGGTGCGGGATCCGACACCAACAAGGGGGAGAGATCTTCATGGGTGATAAACATTTTGGCTCGAGAGGATTTAACCTTAGTGGATTCTAGATCCAAATTTTGTAGATCACAAGATTTTTGGTGCTTCTGTTTGGATGTTGCGGACATAATCTGAGGGAGGGAGTTCACCGGATTCACCCTCCTTCCTTTGAATATCAGTGATGCGTAGCCGCCGTTTTGGGTTGAGATCGAGAGGTTTCGAGAGATTTGCAAAAAGAGAAAATAAAAGGGGGAACAAATTAAACAAAAGGAGACAAAGAGATGAGATCTAAAGTAAAGAAATTTCAGGGAGGTGAAATCCCGACGCCGGCGAGCAAGAGCTCCACCGGCGTCGAAAAGCTTGAGCAACTTGACCTCCTCGATAGTCGTGTCTGAGAGAGTTCACGGGTTAGTACAATTTTTTTTTTTTTATAAGTATACAAATGTTAATAATGCTCTATATATTTGTTTACATATATACAAATATTAATAACTCTCTATACATGTGTTTACATATTAATAATGTTTAATGTACATGTTTACATCTATACAAATATTAATATCGTTCTCTATATATCTATTTACATGTATACATAGATGATAGATCCAATAAGTTAATGCTATAATTATATTTAACGTTTTATATATGTATATTTTTTTGCATGACTATTTATTGGGTATCTATTCCATTAGGTTAGTGGTTTAAAATTTTAAATACCCGCCTAAAAGTTTGCGTTATAGATTCAAAATTAAGAGATTCGAAGACAGTCCGTCAGTTTGCATTTAATACAAGTTCCCTCCTTTCTATCGTCGAGTAAATGTCACTTCTACAACAGAGCATTTAATAACTGTCATTTCATTTTTTTTTCTTCCCCAAATGTCAATGGCGCTATCACACGCGCATGACTCCGTAACCAACTGGTTTTATTGTAATTTTTTTGAAGTTGAGGGCCATTAATAACGTTTAATTTTTGTTTGTCTCGAACAAAGTGACCTATTACCGATTATCTAATTAGAAGTCACATTTTTACCTCTGCGCAAATTCACTCTAAAGAAAAAACATTGTCATCACCTATTAGTAACAAAAGTTTCATGCTCACGTGTCGTTCGAAGAGAGATTCTTAGCCATTTAAATAATTGCTTAAACTTTATATATTTACAAATTTTGCCATTAGTGTTATAGTATATACATATTTTACACAAATAAAAAAAAAGAAGTTTAAATTAAATAAAGCATATTATGAACTAATAAACTATTCACAAAAATTTATATGATTCTTTGTTATTTAAGTTAGAAAATATTTTATCGTTTTCAATCATTGTACGGGTAAAACAAATTTAAATACGAAAAATCGATGATTGGAATGGTATAAAAAATTTATTAGATGTTTTTTAAAATAATTTAGATATTAGATAATAACAATACGGGAAAATATCATTTAGATAATCAGTTTACCATTTTCGTTGGTTTAAAATATGAACTCTGGACCTGGTGATTTAAATCTTCAATTTTATGTGGATCTGGTGTTTTAAATCCTCAATTTTATGTTGATTTTCAATTTAATCACGAATTCTCGTTGACTAAGCCAATTGAGGCACATTGTTAACTGGCTAAATGTCATCGCATATTTTTTGAAGAGGAAGACGGAAACCCTGTTGGTGTAGAAGAAAAATTAATGGATGGCTTCGAAGTGATAGTTATGCGATGACATCTTCTTATTGATATGTTTAGCCGGTTAACGATATGTCAATTGGCTTTGTCAACGAGAATTCATGATTAAAATGAAAATCAACATAAAATTAGGATTTAAATACCAGATCTAAAATTCATGCTTTAGACCAACGAAAATGGTAAACTGATGATTTAAATGACATTTTTCCCGATAATAATACCAATCATTTTGTAAATAGAAGTACAATTTAACAATCATATCGGTAAACTATCTAGTTAATTATGCTCATATTTTGTTACGTTTTTCACTTAACATATCTAAGTAATATTAAATAACTCATAAACTTAACTTTATGTAACTCAATTTTCATATTCTGCTAGATTATTTTAGTACTGTTAACCATGCATCTTTGACTCCTTCTTTGTAAAATATCTTTGCAAGATTCCAAATTTTCCAGTGTCCCACATACATCCATTTGCGTCTGTCATTGAGCTTAATGTAACTCACATTCACATTATCACGGGTCATAAAAACCCGAACACGAACTTCTATTGGTATGAATGTTAAAACTGATGATAACAAAATAAAACAAATAACATTTTCTTTAAATTCATACTACGCAATTCTAGGTAATATATAACGTTCATACAAAGTTTTTGAGAATTTACTAATTACCTAATGCCCTGATCGAGTTCAACCTGAGAAGCTATAATTTTGGCTCGTTATGAATGAGAAACTGAAAAGAAAAAAAAAAGTTGATTTACGAGTTCAGGATATTCGAGTCGAGATATTTACGCGTCTCGGGCTCGCGGCTAGAAAATCTAGTAATTCACTATCAAGAATATACAACATGCGTAGCTCTACTCTAAAGTCGTGAACTCGTGATGATGGAGTTTCAAAACAGAGTTACAAGCTCTTATAATATCAAACCCTTCATCCGAATAAGAGACTCTCTCTTAAACCTTGATACCGAATTAACCAGTCTCTATTTTCATGGTTATGTTTTAATGAGCTAAACCGAATAAACCTGAGTTCTAAACGAATCACTTCTTCAACAGTACCGCTCATTCATGGATAAAATAGATTCTTAAAAAGTCGAACAACGCATCAAAACATTCGGTCAAGAATTGATTTCGGTTCGAACTTTTCGCTACAAAAACATTCGATCAAGGCCTCTTAGACATGGGCGTCCATATTCTCTTCCAAGATCTCTCATTCATAGGAATATAGGATCATGATTTATTGAAAGCACATAAACATCATTGTATAGATATGATCAATCAAACCACATTTCTCCCGGTCAAACAAGAAGAAAACTTTGATGTCAATAACTGAGCTGTTCATTCTCTTACTCAAAAGCTGACGATAACACACACACATATATATATATATATATATATATATATATATATCTTTAGTTGAGAATGTCTACTCATAACTTAGTGTTTTAAATACAGTTTTAGGATTATTGAAAATCATGTTTTAAATGAAAAATTCAAACTAAGCTCGAAATATGTAATAGTTAGGTGAATATCACAATGATCAATAGTTTTTAGTAGAAATGAACTATTTAGTAAATAAAATTAGCATTCTACAGCATGAAAATTTAAATATAAAGATTTTAATTATAATCTTAATGCAAGAATTTCGAAATAAGACATTGGGTACAAAATCTCTTTTATTAAACGGGGAACGTTGAAAATAGAAATAGATTGCTACAAAGCATACATTTGAGAGGAAAAAAAAAAACTATGAAAGTCTCACACATTTATTATTTCACTTTAACAAATTCAAATTTAAACAAAAACTCTAGCTTACATGCATTTATTCAAATTGTAATTGTTTTGAGGGGGAAACTGTGCATCACATCGTATGCATAGCTGTTGATATCGTTCAAGCACATTGGAAACCAGACGGAAGCTTTCTGTTACAAACGTTGAGAAGAACGCTGAGAGATATTGGAACGTTAAGGTTGATGCCGAGAACGTTAGCCCTCAGAGCAGTGCAGAGACAAACCGCAGCGTCGACGTCAACCAAACCTTGGATGAGCGAGCAACATGGTTGAGCTGATGGCTGACCCAATTGTATGTTGAGTAGACTGCTTAGAACGTTTGCACATACACCAAGCTTGAGAGCATCGATAGGACAGTTTCCAGATGAACCAGTGCTGGGAGGCGTGACGGGCCTAGGGTTAGGATTTGGGACCGAAGGACTTGGGACTGAAGGACTTGGGACCGGCTTGGGTTTAGGACTTGGGACTGGCTTGGGCTTAGGACTAGGGACCGGTTTGTGCTTAGGACTCTGGTTGCAACCACAATCAGTTGCAGCAGTTAAGGTGAAGAATAGGATGTTGAGGGCGAAGAAAAGAGCAATAGAGGCTGAGTTCTTTGAAGCCATTTTTTTCTTTTGAAAAGATAGGTTCGGTGTTTAAGGATTATTGAGTGTGTTTGAGAGAGAGTGATGAATAAAAATGAAGAGAGGGTGTGGGAATTTATAGGGTATTAGAAGGATGTGAAGAGGACCAACTTGTTCTAGTATAATTGATTATTTACAGATATTTGTACGTAATTCTACAAAATATCTGTTTTTATTTTTTTTATTTGTGCGTATCTACATATACAAATTCTGACCTTTTTATTTTCTTTTATGTAGATTCGTAGAACCTTAGAAATTATTTATTAAATCCTTTTCACGAAACTATTATAATTAAGGGGATGTGCCTTTAATCAAGTGGTTAACTCCATTTGACTCTGCCTTCCCCACCGGAGTTCGACTCCTCTAAGTCGCGTTATCCCGCGTAGTAGGGATTGGCTATGGATCGTCATTGTCGATCCAAAGATGTCAAAAAAAAAAAAAACTATTGTAATTAAGAAAATATATGATTCGTGCATTCATATTAGTATTATTCTCAAATTATCAATGCGTTATAATCACCGCCATCATGATGAATTCATGACCTCATTGCACATATTTTCAAATTCTTTTTGGCTCGTAACCATTTTTACTTGAGAGTTTCTATATGTTAGTCTAGTAGTTTTAGTACATTCCAGAGGAACTTGTGCTCCGCATCCTTTTCGGAATCTTGCTTGGAATGAATGTATTTATCACAAACTGGTCCTAGAAGAGGGAGATATCATCGGAAATTCCCGAACTTCCTCGGATTTATTTTTTCAGAATGTGAATGTTTTCGAATTTTTAGATCCTCTTATGCATAAAATAGGAGGACACCAAAACCCTGGATGAATCGAGTTGTTCTATATGGTTGTGTCATTGGTGACGTAAAGGAAAAACATAAATACAAATTGGACCTCATATGGATTATGACTAATCCCAATTGGCAAGAGAATTTAGACATGACTGGCTTTTAAGGGTGTATAAACACCTCAATTTTTTCTTCTATATGCATAAGGTTAGACCGATTTGTATTGTTTTACATTCTTGCATTTGAGATTTGAAATTACGGAATTTTGATGAAGAAGGGGTTCGCGGTTGGCTAAAAACAACCCGTGATGACATCCACGCGAATAGAGTGATCGAGCACTTTTCTTGGACAATCACATTAATTAGAATTGAATTTTTTAGATTATACATTTAATAGGGTAAGGTTTAGTCGATAGTTAGATTAGAATCCTAATTTAATAAACCCAATATTATTTAGTCTATACGCTATTTTCTATGGAGAAATACAACTAACTTTGAGAAAATATGTTCACATATAAAAACAAAGGAATCTAAATTATGGGTATAACCCAAACATGAAACTAAGATGTGAACTAACTTAAGAGTAACGCAAAATCATTTGATTTTCCGGAAAAGGCTGGTTAGAATGCTTTTTAAAGTCAATAATAACTTTTGTCCCAAAAGAAAATATCATCTTTTTTCAGCAATGCTAGGACAAAAATAAATAAAAGTCAATTATAATAACATTTGGAACTTCTTAAAATTAAACACAGTGATACACGAATATATAATATGGTTTGACTGTGCATATATCTATTATATACTTTGAAACAGAGTATTATTCTTCATGTTTAAACGCCAATTACATTTAAACTGATATTTCAAGGGCAGCATATTCATATCATAATTATTAATATGTGGATTATAAATTGAACTTCGTATTAAGAATAAAAACTATGTATCAATTTTTTCTTACGAAGATTTTATTTTGTAACCGCAATAATATTTTAAATATATATGCTGTATTCTAATATAAACAAATACCGAAATTATTTTGTAGTTATCGTTCTTTTGAATTGCTCTGTCCAACTAGAAAAACATCTCCAAATTAAAAAAATTATTTTACTGCTACAAAACATTACTACATTGATATATAAATGCAACATACTATTATATGCTGATATTGTAGTATCTTTTATCAAGTTAAAAGTTTGATTATCAAAGGCTAAACAAAGCATCGGTACGTTCAACTACACTAGAATTTTGGTGAAGTATCAAATTATATTTTGATACTTTAAGCTTGACTTCATATTGATTTTTTTTTGTCGAAAGACTTCATATTGATTGGAAAGTAAAATTTAAAGGAAATACTTGTAAATATATTTGTAAGATGGATCTCCTCCTTTCTCACTCTTGTAAATATTGATTGTAAATATAATTGTATTTTAATACAGTTGAAAAATACTTAATCATATATTTGTAAGCTCGGGATTAAGATTTGTTTGTATTGAACCTCATTTTTCAAAAAAAGACTAAACTCATGCGGAATATTCGAATCCAAAAATAGAAGTAAAAAAATATTTGAATACATAAGACATTGACTATGAAACGTCGTTCATTTAATTTAACTGTATTAAACAAAACACAAACTTACAACAAAAACAGAAAAGCGTTTACAAAGAAGTATATAAATAACGTCTCTCACTTAAACAAAAGATTGAAACATTAAACCTTAAACTTGCATACATGCATGTAATTATTAATATTGTAATTATTTTGAAGAGGAAAATGTGTGTGCACGTCCTATGCATAATCGATACCGCTCAAGCACATTGAAAACCAGACGGAAGCCTTCTGTTACAAACGTTGAGAAGAACGCTGAGAGATATGGGAACGTTAAGGTTGATGCCAAGAACGTTAGCCCTAAGAGCAGTGCAGAGACAAATCGCAGCGTCGAGGTCAACCAAACCTTGGATGAGAGAGCAGCATGGCTGAGCTGATGGCTGTCCCAACTGCACGTTAAGTAGACCGCTTAGGACATTCGCACATACACCGAGTCTGAGAGCATCGATGGGACAGTTTCTCGATGAGCCAGGGGTGCTCGGAGGTGTGACGGGAGTTGGTACGGAAGGATTTGGGACCGAAGGAGTTGGGACCGAAGGAGTTGGAACCGAAGGACTTGGGACGGAAGGAGTTGGAACCGAAGGAATTGGGACGGAAGGAGTTGGAACTGAAGGACTTGGGACCGGCCTAGGCTTAGGACTTGGGATCGGCTTGTGCTTAGGACTTGGGTTGCATCTACAATCAGTAGCAGCGGTTAAGGTGAAAAAAAGGATGTTGAGGGCAAAGAAAAGAGCAAGAGAGGCTGAGTTCTTTGAAGCCATTGTTATTGAGTGTGTTTGAGAGAGAGATGAAATAAAATGAAGAGAGGGTGTGGGTATTTATAGGATTTTAGAAGGATGTGAAGATCATTTAAACTAGTTTGAAAAATACAATTAGTTTTAAGTATATAATAAAAATATATAATTTTTGTTTTGATATAAAATGAAAACATATAAAATTATTTATATATATACGATAAAAGATAAAATTTGAGGATCACATTATGAACAAAAAATTTGAGTAGAAAATGGAGTACCATTGAAATAGTCTCAAAACCGGTCGTAATTAACAACCCAATAATTACAAATCCTGGTTGAATTTTAAATTGCTAGCTATACACAGTGTTCACTCGATCGATAGTTAGATTAGTTTCCTACTTTGATAAACTGATACTTAAAACCAAACTGATTATACGTAGTTAGCTGTTCGATCATAAATATAACTAACTTTGAGAAAATATGTCATGGGGAACTAAGATGTGAACATACTCATCAAAATTTAGTGTAACGCAAAATCATTTGATTTTCCGGAAAATTAAACGCTGGTTCAGTGTATCTTAAAGTCAATAGTAATATTTTGTCCTGAAAGAAAATCTCATCTTTTTTAGCAATGCTAGGACAAAAAGAAAAAAAGATAGACCAATATTTGCACTGCAAAAACATAATTGTTTCAGCAATGCGAAGACCAAACAAAATAAGTCAATTAAGACAATAACATTTGGATTCTTTAAAAGAGATGAAGAACAAGAAAAACTAACACGGTGATATGGACACATTAATACTTTAATATAAATGGAAAAAGTCATACAAAAATAATAATAAGGTTTAACTAGGTAGCTATTATCTTTCCACCACGGTCATACGTGACATCGTCGAAATTTTGAGTTAGTCGTATATTCATTTCATAACTATTAGATATTGGATTGGAGGTATATTACTATAGTATTCGATGTATCACACTTTTTAATCATGTTTGTTTATGGTATCCCGATACTGAATGTAAATTTAGAGTTAAGGTTTAATATTCAAATGTTCGTATTAAAAATAAAGTTGTAAATTAAAAAATAGTTAATAAATTTCAAAGTAGAAAAAAGCCTAAAACCAAATGAAAAAAAAAAAGCCTTTGAGCGGCTTCTCTCACAGAACTTGAAAATTCTAGCCGCCGACTAAATTTTTTACTAGTTTTTCTTTTCGGCTTGTGCGTGTATCACTTACGGTTCTTCGTTTCGTGGTTAGTGTCTCTTTCCGGTGGCGATAAAAGTGACTAGAGTTTGCAATACGGAGATGCGAGAGTGAGTCACGACGGCAACATTTGTTCCTCGGCTTGTTGAGTCACTTTGGGAGTTTTTGGTCTTTCCAAATTTGTGAGGACTGGATCGGGGGCTTGTGTCACCACATATGTAAATTTACTTCTGTACATAGAACTTTTTTTTTTTTTTGGTTTAATTTTTATACATAGAACTTAGTGTAGCTAACATTTACATTATCACGAATCATATACATTCCGAACATATATTACCCTCCATTCGTATGCATATTAATTAAAAAGAATTAGAAATAGACGTCCAAACATATTTCATTAAACAGGTTGAAAATTGATAAATAAATTGCTACAAAAGTATTCGATATTTTGTTGAGTTTTTAAATACTTTAACTGGTTAAGATCTATATATAATAATATTTGAGAAGTGTTTTTGCTGACGTGTCGGACTCTCGGCTCTTGTTGAGTCATTGATTTTACGTAATTACTTAATTATCCTTAATGAAATCTAATTAATTTTGGAAAAATTAAATTGAATTTCGGAATTAACCAGGAAAAAATAATTTTTGAAACAATAAACATGATAATTAACCAAAAAAAAAAAAAGGAACAACGAAGTACGAGTTAGGAAGCTTTAATTGAATTCATCGTGTTCTTCGTCGTGTGAATATAATTCTTCTAAACGAAGGCAAAACTTGAAATCCTAACATAAAGCATATATTCATAGCAATAACAGAGATCTAATAATTTAGTGATAGAATTTCACCTGTTGATCTGTCGAAGCAGAATAGTCAAGCTTCTCATAGTATCTTGCCCATGTTATGTCTTTAAGACGTCAATACTATCCTGCACCCTATAATTCTAACCAATGAAAAGAACAAATATTTATTACCTTGGATACAGAGTTGACGAAGAAACCTTGGATAAAAACTCGACGAAGAAACTTGTAAGTGTTAATGTATGATGAAGCTTCCATGAACGTGAAGTCGTGATCATAATGAAGAAACGTGTGAATGGAGACGGTTGATGGTTTTTTTTTTTTTTTTTTTTTTTTTTTACCTTTTGTGTAAACAGATCTGTTTCATAATTTATCGGAAAAGGAATTATACCAAAAAAAAAAAATCGGAAAAGGAAAATATTTATTATAATATTGATATATTTAAGATGATAATGTCAAATATCCGAAAATTATTAATCGGAGCATTAATATAAACATAAAAGAATACTATTCTAACCTTACTCAAATTAATAAGATTTAGATATCCGAAATTAATCGTAAACGGCTATTAATTGTTAAACTAATTAAAATAAAGATCAAACGTACCGGAATAGATGAAATTTTTGGTATGATCGTCGTGTTCGTCGTCGTCGTTTCAATCTAAATATTTGGAAAAAAAAACGAACAAAAAAAATAATATGTAGATCAATGAAAGAGAACCCACCAATTTAGAAACGGTTATCACGCCATCGTATTGTTCGTCGGATGATTATAAGTCTCTAATCCGGAGATTGACTTGAACCCTGACAAAAACATATATTCATAGCATAAAATCGTAAATAGAAGGTAGAAGACCACCTATTAATCGGTTGTAACCTTGTGCAAACTCGATTTAATTTTGACGAATGAAATGTTGGTGTGGTGTCAAAACTTTCTTGGGGAGACTCGAAGATGAGAGAACTGAAGTCAGAGATAGGCAGAGAGGTTTACATGTGAATTAAGGTATGGAGTGCTAACGTGAACATGAACGTGAACGGTGGTGATTTTTGCACATAATAGCAATTAGATCGAGTTTTGGAAAAAAATATGGATCAGCGTGACATGACGCATATGGATACCATGCATGTCTATCTATTGTAAATCAAAAATTATATTATTGTTCCGCCTTATTTTTGAAACAGAAAGGAATTTTCCTTAAATTTTAATATATTTTATAAGATAGTATCAGATATAGTAGTAAATCTAAAATAGTTGTTATTATTCTATATTTTTACCGAAAAAAGTAAATATTATTTTAAATAAACATGGATAACAATGAATAAATGGCAGTTTTACAAATATTTATTATTATGATAGTGATTTGCTTATTAAAATATGTAAATTTTCTTTTCTTTTTTTGTATTTATCGTCGAAAAATTTAGAAACTCTAAATCATGCACCGCCTCCTATTCAATATAAATACCTTGCTCATGGTATTCAATTTCAGATCATAACTAACCTTTGTTTTTTTGTTCTTTTTTTTCAAACTTTTTTTTGCTTCTACCTAATTTTAATTTTTCTTTTTATTGTAGGGTGGATGTATGGAGGGGACGATGTGAACTGGTGTATGGAAAATTTGGACCTAATTCAATGAATAAACAGGTGATCTTATAGTTTATATGTACAAATTTGATTTTTTTTTTTTTGTATTTATGGTTTCACTATTTTCACCACTAATCAATTTTTATAATCAAAAAGTTTGGTTTCAACTTTTGAGAAGGTAATCATCGATGGTTTGGTATGTTTCTTTTTGTTGTAAAAAGATGAGGTACCTCCCGATTTTGTTGAGGTACATGTTCTTATTATTTTCAAATATGTCTTTTCTCAGAAGAAACACTCAACTTTTGATAACACAGTTGTCACAAAGTCAGAAAGATGACTTATTTCAGGGATGAATCTTCAGAGGAGGCTAATTTTTGTCGTTAATACAATTTAAGTATTCCTCTCTTTAGATTAGGGATAACAAACTTGGCTGTTAAATTCAGGAATTACTCTTCGTTGCCAATCTCTCTCCCCAAACTAATATATTACATATATGGAAGTAGTAACTTAAAGTTTTTGGTATCGAGGTCATTCTAAGGCACTGAGATTCGGACTTTGGTATGTATAGGATTCGTTTTCCATGCACTAAGATTTAATTATTGTTTAATTTATTGGTTTTTAGGTTTCTTTCCATGCTCTGATGCGTTTTCGGGTGTGCCAATGGAAGCTTGCATCACTTTTTACTCCAAGCGTAAGTATGCTCTGCATTAGCTTCTTCTGTTCCATTGGTTATTATAGGTTTTGACTTTTGAGAAATATACAACAATTTAAAACCAGGTTTTGTTGTTGATTGGTTCGGTTTGTATACCATATTTTGCTAAATACATATGACCATAAATAAGACCAAAGGAGCTGGGTTAGCTCCTTTGCCAGCTAGGTTGACTTCGTCTCCTCCCCGTCTTGCGGATTTCCGTTATTCAACGGGTATATTTGAGAAGTATACGGTACTAAAACCACAACCATTGATCTTAGCTTGATCGGTTCTTCCCTAGGATTTATACATAAAAGTAAATTGTTTTGTTTAATAATTTTCCATTGCATGAACTTTCGAGACAACAAGTGGACAGGAGTGTAATGTCATCAAAAGTCAAATCAAACACTGTGAGGAACATATTAGACAACGTTGGCTTCTTTCGCAGTTGCTCAACGTTGTCTCTCCCGATGGTCCCAACACTCTTGGGACACTGTGGGCCACTCTACTTATTCGAAGACG